TATTATGAATGGATAAAAGAGACATCTTCTTTTAGTTCAGTACTAAAACTTGACATTTCAAGTGCTTATCAAAACTTTATGCATGTTAACTAGATTCGCCATTTATCTTAAAATTATATAATTTGTTTATAAAAATGCAGTTTACTTTACACTTTAACAAAACCCGTATAAATCCAAAGTTTAATCTTGTTATACGCAACATTAAAAAAATCAACGAACTTTCGTAAAGCTTTTTATTTAGATTTCCTATAAATACATATTTTGAGTATGCAGTTTTGTAGCCCCATCAATTCAAATAGAGCGCAAGTTTAAAATACATAGCTGCGACTTATCGTTGATTTTTAATATATATATTTTTTTTGATGAAGGCGTTGCTCATTTTCTTCATTAAAAAAATCGTCGAACATACTTACGATAATATGGAAGAAAATTACCGACATCGTCAAAAATATGCCATACATCAACTGTAAATCACAGCTACTTTAAATTTGCACTTTATTAGACTAAAATTAATGAGCTAAACAACTGCATAATATTAAGACATAAAATTGAAATAGAAAGTTCGAAATTTTTACGAAAGTTTGTCGATTTTTTTTTAATGTTGTTCAAAGATTAAACCTATTTTCATTTAGTTTTTGTTAAGGAATAAACTATATTTTTATATGCAAATAATTCAAATTAACCCTTCGCGGCGCCGTGTTGTATTACTGCAACATAATTCCTCTTTTACATTATCTCCTAACACATAGTTCCAAATAATATTTCTTTTGTTTGTTGCGCATTTGCAACATTTTTTCCTTTGAATTTCAACAGGCTTCAACGCCAAAGTAACTGCATATTCAAGTGAATTTTCGCAGTAACCAGCAGTCGTCTGAGAGCGTAAAGTATATTTTGTGTGAACAATTACAAAAAGTTAATAAAATTTAAGAAAGTGTGTTTATTCTGAAAGTAAGTATATATTTTTTTACGTGAAATGTGATTTTCCTTCAAAAGTTGCTCTAAGCATACTATTTGATTAGTTTTTATAAGTGTTGCAGTTATGAAACAAAGTGCTTAGTACTGATAATATTTAGTACATTTCACAGAAATAAAATTTCGTAATTCTCTCACATAGAATGTCGAAGAAACGATTGAATTCCGCTCAAATATATAATATTTTGGAAGACATCGGGAGTTCCACTGATGAGGACTTTTCAAGTGATGACAATCTTGAAGATCCGGACTATAACGAGGATATCGCCAGTGTCCAAACCTATATTGAAAGTGTAGATGATGAAAATGAAAACTCTGCAGGTTTGCCAAGTACATTGAGTAAAAATCGCTACGAATGGAAAATAAATTTAACATGGAAGAAAAATAACTTATTACAAAATGAAAACCAACTCGCTTTTCTAGGAAACACCATACTGCCTCCTGAACTCATGGAACTTTCAAATCTCGTTCAATTTTTTTATTACTTATTCCCGCAGGAAATTTTTGAGAAAATAAGAGATGAAACGAATATTTACATACGTCAAAAGCTTCCAAACTCGACAGCTTGCGTAAATACTTTGGAGATACGTCAATGTGTTGGAATTATTTTCTATATGTCGGTTATACATATGCCAAACGTTAGAAAGTATTGGGCAGATTACATAGATGTTACTGTGATTAAAAATACCATGTCACAAAAAAGGCTTGAATTAATTATAAATTCTATACACTTCAGCGATAATAGAAATCAGGTGCCGTTATCTCATTCCAATCATGATCGATGTGCAACATAACTTTTTTTCTTAAAATAAATGGAGTCTTTCAAAATATCAATAAACTTCAAAAGAAATATTCAACAATTTACATAGAGCTCGAGGCAGTTTTTTAAATGAAATTTTTTGTGGAAAAGGAACAATAATTTGAAAAAATGGTAGAAGTCATAGCTATTTCGGAAATCACCACATTTCCTCATCAGACTTCTTTCAGTAGGATTCGAACCGACGATCCCACTGACTCAGCCAGTTGCCTATGCACCGTGCTAAGTACGCCTTGTAAATTATCGTTTGCTTTTTTCCACTATTTTCATTTTTTTTTGTTATGCCAACACAATCAAGCGCAGCTATTCCGCTGCAATTCACTTGATCATGATGTTGTTGGTTTTTGCTAATAATTCTATTTTTAGAATGTTTAACTTTTAGGTGTGCTCGTCCTTAAGTTATTTGTTTTTGTTATTTTTTTGGCCTTAGAACAATTATATTCAACAATTTATATTGAGCTCGAGACCGGGTTTTAAATGAAAATTTATTGTGGAAAAGCAACGATGACACTGTTTCTATATGAAGCTGATTTCGACATTTTGTTTTAACACATTTCCTCATCAGACTTCTTTCAGTAGGATTCGAACCGACGATCCCACTGACTCAGCCAGTTGCCTATGCACCGTGCTAAGTACGCCTTGTAAATTATCGTTTGCTTTTTTCCACTATTTTCATTTTTTTTTGTTATGCCAACACAATCAAGCGCAGCTATTCCGCTGCAATTCACTTGATCATGAGGTTGTTGGTTTTTGCTAATAATTCTATTTTTAGAATGTTTAACTTTTAGGTGTGCTCGTCCTTAAGTTATTTGTTTTTGTTATTTTTTTGGCCTTAGAACAATTATATTCAACAATTTATATTGAGCTCGAGACCGGGTTTTAAATGAAAATTTATTGTGGAAAAGCAACGATGACACTGTTTCTATATGAAGCTGATTTCGACATTTTGTTTTAATAAAATTTAGTATCGAAAATATTATTTCAAAACTTGCTTAGTAATGTGATATAATGGTTCGTTCAAAACCTTTTTTCAAAACTTATAAAGGCAAAAACGAGAAGGCGAAGACAAAAAGAATACAAAATTTCCCGCAGTGAATTTTCAGATTTTTAAAACGGTATAGTAATTTAATTTTTTAAATTCAAGTAAAGCATGAAGACCCCATGGAATAAAGGAGTAGATACAAAATATATAACGGTAAAACTGGCACATACATCAATATATGAAAGAATGCACTCTAGCCATTGTGTGTCACAGATTTAAGTTATCGATGGAATTTTTTTTTTCACGGGACGACCCGCGAGGTATCATCTTTCCGATCAAAAAATTATAGAATCAGTTCACGTGGTCCAAAGATATGCGATAGCATATATAAAATAAAATAAAAATCCTACGAATTGATAACCTCCCGCTTTTTTGAAAAAAGTGCAAATTTATGAAACTTTAAAAATTGTATTTATTTATTACATTCTGTGCATAAAACTTTCATAAATGTATTTTAAGAGCATATTATCTTCTTCAATTTATATTTTATATTGCATATTATTTATTTTACGTACACACCAGAATCCTTCCCTTCAGCTGTACAATAAAAATTCAATAAATCTTTATAGGAGGTGGGTTTATAAAAGGAAGAATAGAAGCTGAACTCGCAGTGCCTCGCAGCTGGAACTATTTGATATATGACACGCACATTTAATGTTTACTTGTCCTAAGCATAATTTAGCTCACTTCCTAGGTCCTTTTTTTATATATCCCTTTTTAAATAAAGCACTCGAAAAATTTTATACTAACAAAATTATGTAGGATTTCAAAGTAAACTATTTTAAATATTTCAAAAGATTAATAAAAATTTAATGCAGATATATTCAAAAACTGCTCATAAATCAAATTGGCTTTTTATATATGCGCACAAGTGGGAAAATGAATTTAAATTACTTGCGACAAATATCAAAATTTTTCTTGCAAATTTATTTTTTGCATTGTTCATATTTTAAGCTCGTGTTATGATTGCAAATATGCCTTTTAATCAAAAATTCTTTTTGGTTTGGGTTAGCTGGATATTTTGCTATGTATCTTCGTAAATACTTTTTCATAATTCGCTAACCCGTTTTTACTACTTTTGGCCGCTGTAGTCCCATTGTGCTCCGCTGGCTTGGCTATGTTGTTCGAATGGACACCGACGCTTCAGCTCTGAAAGTACTGAACTCGGAACCCGCCGGTGGCAGCAGAGGAAGTGGGAGGGCCCCTACTGCGATGGAAAGACCAGGTGGAGAAGGACTTGGCTCCACTTGGCATTTCCAATTGGCGTCCGTTGGCACAGAAGAGAAACGACTGGCGTGCTTTTTGAAGTCGGCCAAAATCGCTTAGGCGGTTACAGCGCCAAATAAGAAGAAGATATGTATAATAAAAAGAACAATAGAAGCTGAATACCCAATTTCTTGCATATGATTTCAAATATGGCACGCATACTTAGTATTTACTTGTACTAAGCATAATTCAGCTCGCTTCCTGCGTCCTTTTTAAATATCCCTTTTTAAAGTAAGCACTCAAGAAATTGTATACTGGAAAATTCTGAAGAACTTCAAGTAAAGCTGTCTTATATATTTCAAGAGATATATAAAAATTTAAAGCAATGATTGACCACAGATATATTGAAAAAAAACCAGGGCTGCAAACCACTCCAAAAATAGGGGCGGTTCGGTTCAGTGGTTTGAACCACTTAGGAAAAGCTTGTATCGGTGCAAGAACCGATTCGTGAGTATTGCTGTACAGCGGTTCGGTTAAAATGGTTCACATTTTTATGCTAAAGGATACAAATATTGCAAAAATATGGCAAATCTGTAACATGAAAATAAAAGGCTCTGTTACTAAGATCAAATTCAAATATCCACGTGTATAGTGGTGGAAAAAAAATAGGGGCACGACATTTCAGCAAGTTTTGGCTAATTTTCTTTTGTTTAATTAATGTTCATTTATTTTTAACCTTATGAATCCAAGTTTCAAATTTAGTGCAAAAATTATGAAAAATCTGCAATGTTTCATCTAATAAAAATTTCTAGGAAACATTTTTTAAGTTTTAAGTTGATTAATGGCAATTTTTCTCGGATTTTCTTCCATACAAAGTATCTGGGAACTTTTTTTTGTATGATAGAAAATGCGTAATATAAAAAAATTATTTAAAATCAACGCGATCAAAGCGAAATTAGAAAAATTTTCATAAACTATTTTAAGGTTTGAACAAGGCGTGAGCCTAGTCGAGTAGACAAAAACAGCATACTTAGAATTTCGAATTGACACTCAAAATCTTGGTTTAATGTTGAAACCCTCATTTTCGGTAGGTTGGAGCTTACACTAGGCTTTAACTTCATATGTACAAGTATACCTATGGTCAAAATAATATCAGTGCGACATTTGACTATTTTTCTTTTGTTGGTTTAATGTATAACAAAAACCATGTAAATCCTAATTTAAAACTTTGTAAGAAAATTAGAAAAATCTACAAATTTTAACAAAATTATATCAAAGTATACATTTTTTTATCAGAACTACAAAAATCCGAGTATGCAGTTTTTGATATTTTTTGCTGGCGTTGTTAAGCATTTTTTCAATATAAGAACATTTCCATCTTTCTTTATATGGGCGAAATTACAACTCAGTAGTTGCCATCAAGCAAAAATGTTTTTGTGTATTACAAAACGTGAAAAATGCTATAGGGGATCTCAATTTTGAACCGAACCGAACCATTTTTTGGAGTGGTTTTTGGTTCGGTTTTGGGATTTCAAAATAAAAACGGTTCGTTTCGCGGCTCGGTTCGGAGTCCGATAAGCGTCCGGAGCGTTCGTTTCAAAAACCGGTTCGGTTCAAAACCGGTTTGCAGCCCTGGAAAAAACTAGTCAGCAATAAGATTGGCTGATGTCATATCCGCACTTGTAGAAAAATTAATTTAAATTACTTGCGTCAAAATCAAAAGTTTTTCTTACAAATTCGTACATTATATCTACTTCAAGGTCGTTCCATGACCTCCAAACATGCATTTTTATAAAAACTTCTTTTTGATCTGGGTTAACTGGATATTTTGCTATGAGTCTGCGTAATTTTTTTTACATTTTTGGCCGTTGTTGTCGGATTGTGCGGTGTCACGTAAATTATGTATTCTCGAAAATTTTTTAAATGAAAGAAACTGCAATTTAACCATATTGACACATGCTTAGAATAGGGACAAGATAATTTTATAGGGTTTAGCAGTTAAAATATTAACTAAATATGAACCACAACGCATTAAAGCTATGAGCAAAATCGTATTATTTTTATGTTTAAAGCAAAGACATTTTTGAAACTATGAAATAATAGCCCTTTTAGAATTTATGTAGCATTGTAGCTTTTCATTTTAAATGTAGCACTTTNATATTATTTTTATGTTTAAAGCAAAGACATTTTTGAAACTATGAAATAATAGCCCTTTTAGAATTTATGAAGCATTGTAGCTTTTCATTTTAAATGTAGCACTTTTGCTACAATTTTAGCCAAACGGTAACACTGGATATTGAATCTCCCCTCTCTAGAACAAGTGCAGAACGTCGCGTGTTGAGACCTTAGTTTTCCTATAGGAATTACACGTAAGAAAATGAGTTCTTTCCTTTTGGGGTCGATATAATTTTCTAGAATCACTGAAAATGCTCGAAACTCTAAGAATACATTGGTTACATGCCTTTAAGTATTATGCAGGCTCAGGTTATTTAAATTCCTAAATTAACCCTCTTTTATCCCTTGTCCTATTTGGGTCAAATCTAGTATATACCAAAAATATTTTTTTTTTTTGAATTTAGAGAATCTGCGCATGCATAATACTTTAATGGCATGTTAGCAATGTATTCTTACAATTTCGAGCATTTTGATTGATTATATTGACCTCATAAGCGACTAACTCATTTTCTTACGTGTAATTCCTATGAGAAAACTAAAGGCTGGACGCGCGATCTTTTACAATTGTCCTAGAGAGGAGAGATTCATGGGGGATCATTACTATACCAAATGCTAAAGTTTGAGTCTTGTTCTGGTCGAATTGCAGGATTTTTATTTTTTTTAAGTAGTCTAATACACATGTATATTTTTTGCCTTGTGCGAGCAGATATTGTAATAAGAAAACTATTTTTAAGCTGCTACAATTGAGCTGCAACACGTTTCGTGCGTCTTATCTCATTATATTCGCGAAAGGTGCAAATGCAATCGACCTTCTATTCTTCGACGTAGGACAAAGGAATATCAAAAGAAATCACGCTGATTGAACGGCAAAATATATGTACCGAAAACTTATATATAGTAGGTATGTATGTATGTACATACATATGCACATGCATAAGTAATCGATATATGCGATGGCCCCATATGCTTCACGCTCTACTCAAGTCCTTTAGGTCGGCATTGCTATTCAGTTTGACTGCATTTGGTTCAGAGTCTATTGGCCGATCACTCAATGAAACGTGTGTTTTGGCGTAAGATGCAACTTGAAAGATGTGGATGCCACATGCTACAATTTGGCTTCTCATGCCAAAGTGGTGGTGGTGCCGGCATTCCTATATATGTATGTATGTCTTTATGTACATATGTACCTTTACCACTGTCAAAGCGATAGTATATTTTTTCGTGTGCAATGTGCAAAAGTAGGCATATCACGTATCCTGATGGCGCATCCTTCCAAAGCATATCATGCATGTACATACATATATGCATAAGTGTATTTTGCTAAGAATGTGGGCATCGATTCAGGTTGCCTGTATTCTCTCTGCTGTCGGCACAGTTTACGCCTTAGCCATTGTTTGTCAAATCGGTTAAATGTGATTTTTTTAACATCTGATCCTATTGGCGGAAATGCATCTTTAACCTTTTGCCTTGATAGAACGGCTGCATGCCTACCCTAAACATTTTTGAAAGGCAGTTGTTTTTGTGCTTTGTTGGTATTGATTTCGGAGAGAGTGTACAAATAAAGAAACACATTTAGGGTATTCACAAGATGTCGTAAGCGTCGTAATGTCTTAAAGTCGTAAATTTTTTCAATGTAAAATAACGGTTGAAACGGTTTACAGGGATTGTTTGGGTATAATAAAAGCTATTTATATATTTTCTATCGATTTAGCAACGTTTCGGTGTGATTAAAAATGCTTTAAAAGCATTTTAACCGTTATTTAACATTGTAAAAGTTTAGACTTTAAGACATAACGACGCTTACAACATCTTGTGAATACCCTAATTATGTTTCTATCGTCGTCATCTGCACCGTTATGCAGCAGTAAGTGCACAATAAATGCTACTACATGCCATATTTTTTGTGTTGTCTAAATAATTGGCGAAATGCAGCAGTGCCCTTTCGGGTGTGAATCCTCGTTGCCTAGTGTACGGCAGCTCGATATAGGCTTGCATGCGGGATGCTATTTTGCAATGAAAAAATTTCAAAATGCACTGTGGCCACAAAATCATAATAAAGGAAACCGATAGAGATGAATGAATATCCCTATTTTCGTTACTATGTTAATTAAGATTAAATTGTGGTACACATGTTGCATATACAAACATACGAGCACACATATGTACATACATATGTACTTAAGTACATACATAAATGCCAGTACATACCCAGTATAAATTTTAAGCATACGGCATCGCTGTTGGTGGCATGAACTTGCTGCTGTGTATACATGCCAATATAAATGAACCTTCATTTCCATTTAACACGCGTGGTTTCTCAGAGCGTATGCGTACCTTAATCATGCACTTGTACTACTGCTATACAAAAATATACAAAAATGCATTAATGGAACAGTATTAAAGTTTTCTTACAAGATATGTATCCCCACATGTAAATGCTACTTTTCTGATATATTTTAATATACGGGGACATACAAACAAGTAGCATTTACATATTCAAATGCATATCTTGCAAAATCCCGTTTGTGCTGAAAATAGTATCGCACAACACGTCTGTTCACTAAAATTTTTGTACAAGACTGAAAATATTACAAAAATTCCACTTCATATTTATCAAGAAATGTACTTAACACAACGACAACGGTTATTCGCTTGCAATTCGCTGGAATTTGAATTTATTCGTGGAAATTCATGACTACGCATGAATTGTTCACACTATTCACTCATATAGCAAGCAATCTTCACGAATGCATACAACCGATTTCTACTGGGTATATACTGCGCCTTTGGCTGATTTATGTAATGTTTTTTAAATCTCTAAATGAGTTCCTCTTCTGCCTAGCAGACCTCATAATCAATTGACTGAAGACAAACATTCAGAAAAAAAGCAATAATTTATTATGAAATAGATATATTTACATATATTTGCATTTGCGTAAAATTAAGAAAAGCTTTCAGAAATTCGAATCTGCAATGACACCTTCTTCACCTCGCAAAAATTTGAAAGAGGAACAAGTCATTACATCCTATCACAATATTTCGCAATAAGCACGAAGCTTAACAGTATGTATATATGAATATTTATTCTTTTATGTACATGCATTTGTATATACAAATATATGTACAATATACATTGTAAATACATACAGAACGAAGCAGAAGCATACAATCGAAATATTAAAAAATAGGCGCAAAAAATAGAGCCAACAAAGAAAAAAAATAGAACGAATCGAAAGAAAATACAATCTGAAAAAGAAAACTTTTGTTACGGTGTTTTTAATCAATCCCTTTGATGCACCGATATCAAGTTTTACTACTTTAGCTATTCATTATCAGATCTCTTTTGCTGGTCAACAACAATGACAGTAATGTCCGAACCAGCGATTGAATTTACTGGGTGCACAATTCCGAATGCGAACCGACTTGAAGAATGTTGGCAACAGGTGGCGGCGGCTGGAAAAACTCAGAAGGAAGCAAATCTAAAGATAATCAACGGAAAAACCATTAAAATTAAAGCAAGTATGTACCCTTGTGGTCAGCTGATTAAGTCAAGTGACATATTTTTTAAATTCAAAATAACAATTATTTTTGATTTATATCTAAATAATCCACAAATAACAGTTATTTTTGATTTTTATATTATATGTCTTAGATAACAGTTATTGAAGACTTTTATTTATAAAAGTCATCAATAAAAATGTCAGTGACTTCTTCTTTTAAAAATCATCAATATAAATCAGTTACCGACTTTTATTTTTTTAAGTCATATGTATAAGAGTCATCATTTTTCACAGTTAACAAGGTATTGGTGAACAAAAGTTTACTGCGAATAATACAAACGACTTTTATAAGTACGATTTAAAAAATAAGTCAGTCGTGTGGAATGGGCAAAGCACACTTAAATACCAGTCGTCGGGCATGCGTTCATCTGACCATATTCTGCATAAGGTTGAAGCATGCACCTTATAAACTCCTCGCCGTCTTACTTGAAAAGCTCAGCTGGCAGGCTGTCAGCTCCAGCCGCTTTGTTGTTTTAAAGCGCACTAATGCTATTCGTACCTCGTCATAATCAAGTGTTGGAAATCTGGCACCGTCATCATCGACTGGAGGGTCGGGTTCGTCTTTTATACAGCTTTCAGTGCTGCTACCATTCAGTAGAGTGGAAAAGTGTTCCCTCCATAATTTAAGTACGTTCTGGACATCAATCACTAGGTCAAAAGTCGCTAAACTCTTTGGAAAAATTTTCGGGCGTTTTTCTTGTCGGCCAGCATTTCAAGCTCTTTTCACTCATGTATTTCGGCCTCTCTCTTCTTATTGCTGCAAATACGGCTCGCTACCCTCCTCAGCTCCCTATAACGTTCCTACATAGCTTCTTCACACTCCTCATCGTACCAGTTGTTTTTTTGAGCTCGCTGTAAATGCTCATAGAAGAGATCCTTGGACGCCTCGTCTTTCTCTTCCGTCAGGGCATGGGCTAGACGCTCGCCCGCCGGGGTGAACGACAGTACTCGGCGACGTAGTTTTCCTCCCACCACAAATCCAGCACGGAGTTTGTGATCATTTACATGGCAGCTGTAGTAGACATCGCAAGGCCCCAGACATTTTTGGCCCGCCCCGTCCAACGCATTTCTTGGATGGCGGTGATGTCCGCTTTTGTCCTTATGAGAACATCAATCGGCCGGGCAGAGGCACCTTCCCCATTAAGGGTCTGGACCTTCCAGGTGCATGCCCTCAAATCGTAGTTCTTTAAACGGGGAGGTCTCATCCGAGGCTGTGATTTAATTTTTCATTGGGGCCTGTTTTTTCGTGGCGGGTCTCAAACCCAGCGCACAACCCATTCCAGGGACGGGTATGGTTTCGCAGCCGATTACAAGTTTATATAGCGAGCCGCTTGCTCCAAGACAGACACCCGCTTGTAGCCGCATTACTGTGCATACCCAGCACAACGACCGTATGGGATTATTTTGTTCTACGTCATCTTACGAAAAATACTACCTAATGCCTACCAAAAAATTAGCATACTTAATGCAAAATTTGAGAACAATTGAGAGAAGCATGTCAAAACCTCGATTTTCTCGAAAATTATCAATACTGATTAAAAACGTACAACGTGGTCATTATAAAATCCAAGAAACCACTGGAAACCTTTCAAAGAAGATTTAAGCGAATTTTACACGACGTTCACAACATCATCCAAGACGATGCCATCGAATATTTGCACACCATTGTTATTGAAGTTCTGATTGTCTAGGTTAAATGCACTATGGCGCACAAAAAATCACTTGAAGAACTTAACTTCAAGAAAGGAAATGGGCAACTGTTCCACGGGTCCCTTAATTCGTTGGCTGGCGATTTTCGGCAGACAATTTGAATTTGAAAGAAATCGATTCATACATACGACATCGACCCCAGCGCCACCTACCGAGTTTTCTGGTAGCCTATAATAGGACCATATATGCAAGGCATAGCCTCTGAAAATTTGACTGAAATCTATGCGGAAGTTTTTGAGTTAACTCCGAACAACGAAAACGGCTATTATTTTATATATTTAGTGACCCAAATATGAACTGGGACGCGACGTTTTAGCTTATTATTTTTTTTTTATGAAAGCATAGCTGATTACTTACAAACACCATTTAAATCCAAATTTCATATTTTATGCAAGAGTTATGAAAACTTTGCATTTTACCGTTGATTGCACTTACCGTTGATTTTTGGCAATTTTTTGTTGTCGGTGTTTCGCATTTTTTCCATATAAAAAACATACTTTGTGTGGAAAAAAAATCGTAAAACCGTTATAAAAAATTACTAAAATCAACGGTATGTGCTAGTTATTTAAAATGTTCACCATATTATACTAAATCCATACCATTTTGTAAAGATTCTGATTAAAAAGGTAAAAAATTTTGGGGAAATTTTGCAGAAATTCCATAATTTTTGCACAAAGTCTTAAATTGAGACTTATATGTATAGTGTTTGTTGACTAATCAACTATATTTTCATTAAAAAAATAATGAACATTAAATAAACTAAAAAAAAAATCAAAGAAGGACGTAGCCCGATACGCCTTCTTTATACAATTTTTTGTTATGAATGGCTTAAATTTAAGCTGCGAAGTTTTATTCGCAACATTTAAGCAAAAATCTATGGGAAGACAATAATTGTATCATTGTGCCAACCAGTGTTGCCGTTTTGATTCATATACTTCGAAAGTGATACGTGTTTGTACAAATTTTCGAAAGATACTTTATTTTTTCGCTCATTTCGCGAGATACTTAAATTTTCCTCGTAGTACCAATTTTGATACATGACAAAGAGAAAATATATATGTAACCAGGCAGCTTTTAAAATTTGATCGAAATATTGAAACGTTTTGGTGGTGTCAAATAAGGTTAAAGAAAAATGCTTGAAACAAACTATTTATGTATAATGAGCTGACTGCATTCATTTTCATTAATTTTCTAGCTGCATTCATACATAACTCTGCCGCTGCAGAGCATATATTTTTAGATTTAAAATTGGTCCAATGTAAAAAGAAAAATAGACTTTCGTTACAAACTGTTGAGAATATAATGGGGCGTATTCATAGTCAAAATTAAGTCGACACTGAAGGTAGTTTCAGCTTTGTGACATAATTTCCAACGAGTTTAACGTGGGGTGTATTACATAATTTGTATAGTTAACGTAAATGATCGACAACTAAAGTTTTAAGTACATATATAAATTTGTATTCAAGTTTCTGTGAAATCTATACACAAGGCGCATTCTTTTGCAACCGAGCTACAAAAGAACACTCGCTTAAATAACGAAATGCACGTAAGGCAACAAAAGCTCGGATATTTATCCGGTTAAAAAATACACGCCCTGAAGGGTAGTGTTTTTAAGTGAAAAAAAACTGCTTTATTGTGAATTCTTAATGGGAAAGTGGAAAAGGAAATTCTTGTTTCTTTATACACGTGACATACTTTAAATAAGTGTTTATATTACGCAAATACCTCGCATAATTACTCAGCTAAATTAATTTTTGTATCTAAATCCCGTTAAACCAATCACGTTGTTCTTGCCCGCAACCAACAGGGTTGCTTAAGTAGCTAAAAGGAAATTTTAACCGAGTTGTGCGTTCTTTTGTCGCTCGCTTACAAAAAAAACACCTATACATACTATTTTTGTTCCCCTTTATACAAGATTA